GAGATCCAGAACTCTCCAGAGGGGAGAGGGGGACCTGGGACCACCCAGAAAGGGATCCAGAACCACCAGAGGAGACCCAGAAAGGGATCCAGAACTGTCCAGAAGGGAGAGGGGGACCTGGGACCACCCAGAGAGGGATCCAGAACCATCCAGAGGGGACCCAGAACTACCCAGAGAAGACCCAAAACCACCCAGAAAGGGATCCAGAACCACCCAGAAGAGACCCAGACTGTCCAGAGGGGAGAGTGGGGACCCGGGGCCAGCCAGAAAGGGACCCAGAATCACCCAGAGGGGAGAGGGAGACCCAGGAGCATGCCAAGAGCACTGGCCATCTGAAAGTCCTGAGCCTCTGAGGGGAGGCAGGCAGCCAGAAGCCCAGCACAGGCCCCAGCATCAGCCCCAATCTGTCCCCACCACACACATGCCCAAGGCAGGTTCTTTATCCCTGGTCCTTCACTGGCAGCACCTGCCCTGACTGGGTGTCCATGGCACCTTTAAATGGGAGTGGGGGGTCCCCGAGAACCCAGCCAGGGACCTTTGCTGGCCATGGACAAGAGCTGCAGGTCCCAGGGGTGGGCAAGCAGGACAATGGCCAGAGCTGTAAATGCCCCAGGAAGTCTGTCCCCAACTCCATCCCCATGGCCCTGCTGCAGGGACAGCATGGACAAAATGCCAGGCCCACCTGGATGACAGGTGGCCTTTGCCTGGTGGAGGCCTAGCCAGAACCCAGAGGGGCCACCCTGTGGGAGTCCTGGGTTTCCTGGGAAGGGGCTGCCCCCTGCCCCCAGCAGCCCAGGTCTGAGACACACCCTCAGGGACCCTATCTGAGGCTAGGGACCAGGGTAAGACACCCAGCAGGCCCCTGCACCCACTTGACCCAATGACCTCTCCTGCAGGTGTGTCTACCTGCAGACCCCCACCACAGTGGGCTGTGAGGGCCAGGGGTCCGGAGCACCCAGCGAGGTGGGAACGAGGGAGGACGGGGACCTACCATAACCAGCATTAAGGGACTGCTCTGCATGCTGAGCTTCTCCCCTGCCCCTGAGCCAGCACCCCTGTGTGCAGTGGAGAAACCAAGGCTCTGAGCACAGACCAGATGCCCTGGGGTACCCAAGTCTTCACTCAGACACCATGATAACACCACAGACCAGGAGGCTTAAACACTTATTTCTCAGGGTTCTGGGAAGAAGGTGCTGCAGATTCCAGGACACTGGGGTGTCTCTTCCTGGTACAGACACAGCCAGCGACTCAAGGTGTCTCAGTGAACAGAGGGCAAACCCCAGGAGCCCGTTCCTCCTCCTCTAAAGACACTGATCCCTATGGGGACTAGAGGGATGGTCTCAACTCAAATGGTCCCCTAACCCAGCATTTAGGGGTTCCTCACCATCCTCCAAAGTCCTCCTGGCTGTCCTGTGACCCTCCATACCTCACCCTCCTCCTGTCCTCCTCCCCATCCTGTGACCCTCCATACCTCACCCTCCTCCTCTGTTCTGCCCCCCGTCCTGAGATCCTCATACCTCACCCTCCTCCTATGTCCTCCGACCCAACCTGAGATCCTCCATACCTCACCCTCCTCCTCTGTCCCCCTCCCTGTCCTGTGACCCTCCATACCTCACCCTCCTCCTATGTCCTCCTCCCCAACCTGAGATCCTCATACCTCACCCTCCTCCTCTGTCCTCCCCCCTGTCCTGTGACCCTCCATACCTCACCCTCCTCCTCTGTCCTCCCCGTCCTGTGACCCTCCATACCTCACCCTCCTCCTCTGTCCTCCTCCCCATCCTGTGACCCTCCATACCTCACCCTGCTCCTCTGTCCTCACCCCCGTCCTGTGACCCTCCATACCTCAACCTCCTCCTCTGTCCCCCTCCCTGTCCTGTGACCCTCCATAGCTCATCCTCCTCCTCTGTCCTGTCCCCGTCCTGTGACCCTCCATAGCTCACCCTCCCACTCTGCTGTCTCTGTAGGGATCCCAAGTCACTGGCTGCAGCCCCCGCCCACACATCCCTGGGTCCTTGTGGGACATTCGCTCTCCTGGGTGCTCCGTGTGTCTACTCAGCCCCCGTGACGTGTCCGACCTTCCCCATGCTGGCTGTGTCCCATGGTGCCATCTCCCTAGCAGCCCAGACAGGAAGGAGTGGGTGTCCCTGGGCTGTGAGTGGTCTGTCTGGGGAGCCCCGTGCTCAGAGGCACCCCCAGGCCTGAGCGACCACCCTCTCGGCGTGACCCTGGAACCACCCTCTCGGGAGTGGGGTGGGGGCTGCGAACTCCGCGGCCCTGGGAGCCTCTTGTGTTAGACAGGAGTGCTTGTGAAGTGGGAGTGGTGAACTCTGTGGGACGGGAGGGGGAAGCTGGCTGCCCTGCTTGCTGGCCTTCCCAAGGTTTGCCACAGGCATGCTCCCAGGGGGAAGGCAAGCATGCTCAGTCTCACTTCCCAGTGTTTCCTCTGGACACCTGGTGGATGGTCCCCAGGACAGCGTGTCTGCAGTTTGCAGCAGAGGGACCGTGGCTCAGAGTGGGCAAGGTTTGCTTGTTTCCATGGCTGACGGGGTCACAGCTGACTCTCTCCTGAGCACGTGACCAATGGCCGTGAGACCACAGCCTGCACAGATCCGGGCACAAAACGGGGACATTAATGGGGAAAATGTTGAATTCCAAGTACGGTCTGGAGTTCGGTTTTGAAAGAACGTGCAAGGGGTTAAAACTACTGGGTGTGGAGGGGGACTGGGGAAGCTGCGGGGGGGAAGGTAAAAAGTGGGAAGAACCTGGCCCATGGGAGCAGTCACACTGTTGCCGTTAATGAGAAGCTTTGGAAAGAAGCTCCATGCCCATCAATGCCACGCGGACACAGAAATGACGGTGTCCTTGGGCAGGTCGGCGCTACACAGCAGCTTTTAAAATGAGGGGAGGGGCGCCTGGGTGGCTCAG